GTCACTGGATCAAGTAACATCTCTGGTAGCTTCCCATTTTTTTTAGCCTTTTTGGCCACCAGGATCTCAGGGGGGGGCTGGTAGATCCCCATCCAAACCTCCGGTGGCTTCCGATTCTTGGTCTTGATCTCCACTTCCAACCCATTGCTATCTTTATTGATCAGAACATGGACCAGAACATTATTCTAACCCTCCTTATTCTAACCCAGCTCCCAAACATGACAAACTCTCTGTAGTAAAATAAATGTTCCCTTTATTAGGAGGGCCAACAGCCCAGCAAAAAGTTTTTCTCTCTCTCTCACACCGCAGGGAGATGATGAATAGTTGTCTGTCGTATCTATTCATCTCCACCCCCTGCCTTTTATCCCCAGCGCGAGGGTGGGGCTTCACTAACAGTGGTGGCTTTTTCGTCCCAAGGTCCGGCCCATAGATTTCCACTGCTCTCCTCTCCTCTGCCTTCTGCGCATCCGTTTGTCAGGCACTGGACCTGGCTGTTCCTCCTCTTTCTCATCAAGCCACCTCCAGACCTGGGGGCAGTTGACTCTCTGGGGGCTGACGGACGGCCCCGGCTCTGCCTCTGTCTCTCTGCCAGCTGTCAGGGTTCCCGCGATTGCCCTAATTTCATCATGACCCTTGAGCCAAGCTTCAATAAAATCCAAAAGATTTTATCAGGAGCAACATGCTGGCATTATCCTGAGCCTCGATGGCACCGGGGTTAAAGAGTGCAGTGCGGCAGGCTACTTCTGCTGACTGTTGGCTGCCTGCAATTGAGCACTTCAAATCCCACCAGGCTCAAGGTTGACTCGGCCTTCCATCCTTCCCAAGTCGATAAAATGAGGACCCAGATTGTTGGGGGCAAGAGGCTGACTCTGTAAACTGCTTAGAGAGGGCTGTAAAGCACTGTGAAGTGATATGTAAGTCTAAGGACTAGTACTATTCCTTCCTTCCTCCCTCCCTCCCTCCCTTAAAATCGACTCAGCCTTCCCTCCTTCCAAGGTGGGTAAAATGAGGACCAAGATTGTTGTTCGTCCTTCCTTCCTTCCTTCCTTTCCTTCCTTCCTTTCCTTCCTTCCTCCCTCCCTCCCTTCTTCCTTCCTTCCTTCCTAAGGTTGACTCAGCCTTCCCTCCTTCCGAGGTGGGTAAAATGAGGACCCAGATTGTTGGGGGCAAGAGGCTGGCTCTGTAAACTGCTTAGAGAGGGCTGTAAAAGCACTATAAAGCGGTATATAAGTAAGTGCTATTGTTATTGCTATTAACCTAAATTAAGCCAACTCTGGCATACATCATTCAGTCATCCGCTCCCCCCTGGGTGTGTGTCATCAATCACAGTCTCCAATGAAGGATTTTTTGAGGGCAGACTTGCAAGCCCCCCCTATGGTCAAGTAGTGAATTTCAAGGGAGTTTAAGTTCAGCTACCTTGCAGCACACCCTAGTGGAAAAAAGGGGGAATTGCACGGAATACCGCTAAATTCTCCAAAATTCACCCTATGCCAATTTAAAGCATGGCAGCATCTTCAGCCACGACAGATGTCTCTGATGTACCAGAGGACTCGAACCCTCCACCCACCCTTGATGTCAACGTGGAGCTTGGTTCCCAAAACCTGCTCCTTCAGGCTTCTCCCCATCCTTGTTTATGGCAAGTTGAAAACAGGCCTAGGAACGTTTTACAAGTTGACGCCAGCTCCGTTCCCTCTTTCCCCTTGGAGCTCTCCGGTTGCTTTGATACTGGCCGTTGACTCCCACGCCTCCTCCTCCTCCTCCTCCGATTCGGCTGCTGGAGGGGCCGGGGGCCACCATACTCCTTCTCCATCACGAGATCAGTTTCTCCTCTGTCTTTCCACTATGTACTTACGACTTACAACAGCTCATCTGAAGACCATACGAAGGGACGGCACTGGGGGGAAAAAAGACCATTTTTCACACTTACAACCGTTGATCCCCATGGTCACGTGGATCAACTCTCAGCTGCCTCTGGTCTCCTGGTTCTCTGGTCTGGGAAAAGCAGCCAAGACTCAACAGTTTGGAGTAATCGTCACTTTATTCCAGTAACTGGCTTTCATGCCTAAGGCAGGACTAGAACTCCCAGCCTCCAGCAGCTGGCAGGATTAGAACGCCCAGTCTCTACTAGTTGCCTTTTGTGCCTAAGGCAGGACTAGAACTCACCATTTCCTGGTGAATGACCCAACGTCTCCTGATGATTGGCCCAAAGCAACCCAGTTAGCTTTCACTGCTAAAGCAGGATTAGGAATCTCAAAACTCCTGGTGATTGGCCCAAAGTCACCCAACCAGCTTCCGTGCCTAAGGCGGGACTATAATTCACAGTCTCCTGGTGATTGGCCCCAAGTCACCTAGCCAACTTTTGTGCCCTAAGGCAGGATTAGAACTCCTAGTCTCCTGGGGGATTGGTCCAGTCACCCAACAGGCTTTCATGTTTGAGGGGGCAGGACTAGAACTCACGGTCTCCCACTTTCTAGTCTGCCACCTTTAAGAGTAGACCAAAGTGACTTCGAATTCACCCGAGATGCTGGTTCAGAGATCCGATGCTAACTATACCCAGACAGTGCGAAGCACAGCAAGCCAAGGATGATGTGAACAAAAAAAGGACAGAATTTGGACATCAAAAGAAAAGGACCTTGAGTACAAATAAAATACTTGTTGTGGCCTGCCAGTTTCGGACAATGAGGAGACTCAGAGGTTGGGGAGGTTGGGGAGGAACATGAGCCAGTCCTGGAGTCTGGGGAAGGCTCTGCATCAGAGGCAGAGGTGGGGCCAGGGCCGTCCAACAGTGATCAGCTACCTTCGGAGTCAGAGATCAGCGGGGAAGAAGAACAGCTGGAGCCTGTTCCCAGTGTGCTCATGCACAGAGCTGCCAGACGAAGGGAACAGCTAAGGAACAAGGGTCGACTGGGGAGTAAAGCCACAGGTGGACGGTGAATGGCCCCTCCCAAAGGGAATAAAAGAGGAGCAAAAGGGGAGTGGGGTTTGCAGGAGACAATCAGTTCAAGTCACTCAGGTGAAGATCTGTTCCTGACTCCTTGCCAAGTCATTGCTGCTACAGCGTGGCGTTTGGGAGCTATCGGCCTGGCAACTCTCCAAGCCTGATCAAGGTCTGTGGTTGTGAAATCTCACGAAAGGGATTGCTGGGACTTTGCTGGAGAGGAATTCGCTTTTAACCTAAATAAAAAGGGATTTTATCGGGACGAGGAGTTCGGCTTCATGATCTTGGGAAACCCAGGTCAGAACAATCACCTCTGCAAGGACGACGACACTCCAGAAGACGCCACGTTCTTGAAATAACAGAACTTTATTTAGAAACTGTTTAAAAGTAGAAAAAAACCCTGTCAAAAGGAGTCTGGTTTTGAATGTCGTTCTAGGGATAACAGGCATTTAGAAGGCCACAAGAGAAATAGCACCTCTGATGTTTTCAATAATGGCTTTCTTTTTGTCTTTCTTTTGTCTTTCTTTCTTTCCCTTCTTTTGTCGTTTTTTTCTTTTCTTTTCTTTTTTTTTGGCATTCGTCCACAATGTGGGTCTCCCGCCGAATTGTCATAAGGAAATCATGCACTACACAACAAGTTACCGTTAACTCTGCTTTCTACACACATCGAGACACACAACCACCGGAAGCAAACGGACAAAAGGAACACACCAAGCCCGGAAGCTTAGTCTTTGCTGTGGCTGGGGAGGACACGGGGGGGGGGGGGGGGGAAATGTCCCAAACCTCCAAAAGCCCCCTCCCCAAGGAGCAGCCATTGGGAAGGGGAGGAGGTGGTGGTTTGCTCTGCAAAAGAGGGGAGGGGGAGAAGGTCAAGCACAGAATACTGCAATAATCAAAATTCACCGGAACACTCTTTTATCTCCAACAACCTCGGCTCGCCTATTTAATACGCAATTCGTCCTCTTTTGTTTTCCCACCAGTACCTGCAGCACCTGTGCAGGTTAACTTAAGAGGGAGGGAGGGGAGGGGAGGGGGGAGATAGGCCTGCAACGGAAGCGGGGTGCCCACCCAGGCAGCTCTCAGCGCAGGCTGCAAAAAAACCAGTCGAGCAAGAGTGGAGCGTCACAGCCTTCTCCTCCGATCCTTTCGGATCCAGCATCCCTGTTGAAATTATCCTAGCTTGGTGAGAAGGATGCAGCCGTCATCCCAAAACAGGGTTTGTTTGTTGAAAGTAACCGGGTTACTTTGGAAGCGGAGGGGGTTGGGCAGAGAGGGAGAGAAGCGCCCCCGTATGGAGCGGAGCAGCAAGGGGTTCAGGTGAGGAGTGAGTATCTGATTTGGCAACTGGAAGGCTTGTAGGCGTCAACTCCCAGAATTCCCCGGCCAGCGCATGATGCGCTGGCCGAGGAATTCTGGGAATTGACGCCCACAAGTGTTTTAAAAAAAAAGTTGCCAAGAATGGCCGCGTTGCTTTGGAGGTTACACCAGGCCACCACCATAGAAGCCAATTTTGGGCACGCCTGCTTCACACCACTGAGCCTACTATGAAGTCCACTTGCCTGCCACATCCTCAGCCACGCCGGGCCCACCTTCTGCACGGCCCTGAACAAACTAAGCAAGGAAACTCCAACCTCCCCTTTTGATTTCCAAGCGCCTCGAATCCTCCGTCGCTTTACCGGTCCTCTCGAGGCCCCCAATTCATCCCCCTTCCTCTCCCTGCTGTAAAGACCACCCTTTAAAAAAAGACCCCCACCCCCTTCTCCTTAGGCAGCCTCTCCTGCTCCCCCCACCCACCCAAACACACCGCACTGACCCACCGCGCAACGCTGCGTACCCCCCCACACCAAGTTTGTGGAGCCTCTTGCTTCCAAACGACACCAGATGGCGGGTTGATATATTCCGTGACGAAAAGTGACCGTAGAGCGCTCTCTCTCTCTCTCTCTCTCACCAAACCCCCCCCCC